GGTCCCAAGTTGCCCACGCCAGGGCACGGGTGCGGGCGGGGCGGCTGGGCCGAGCGGGCGACGGGAGGGTCCCCGGGAACTTTCTCCTCCCCCGAGACGCGCCTGCCAGCGCGGCCCGCGGCCCTAGCCCCGCGGTGGCGGCTCCCGGGCTGGAGAGAGACAGGGCACGGTGTTTGAAGAAGCTGACGCAGTTGGTGACGCTCGCGGCTTCCTGAAGGGGACCGGCCACGATCGAGCGCCTTCGCGAGGGGGACGCGTAGGGCGGGCGCTCGGGCCTTTCCCCCGGTCTCGTGGGAGCTGCGTGGGGAGCCCCTCGGGCTCGGGGCTCGAGCACCTCTGCCCGGCGGCCCCGGCAGCGCGCACCCCGCTTCCGTTTGGATCGGGCTCGGGCTATTATATAAGATGCCACCGAGAGCAGAGGGGCGAGCGGGAACGCGGCGGCGAGGGCGGCGGGGACCCACCTGTGCGCCACGGCGCGCCTCGGGGGTCGGGTCGGGGGACCAGCCCTGCCCACCGCGCCCCTGCCGGCCCCGGGACGCTCGCTCCCCGCCACCTCGCCCCGACTCTAGGCGTTTCTTGCAGCAGGCGTCTGTACTTTGAAACATTTGTTTAATATTAAGGAAGCTGCGTGTGCGGCCGTCATAGTACGCCGGGAACGTGTGGCCGTGAGCTCCGGAGCGGTGAATGAATCATCGCCCCGGAGGACCGCGCTCCGATGATTCACGCGGGCTCCACACGCGCGCGCGTACTCGCCGTGGGCCTCCGACCCTGGAGAGCGGCCCTTCTGCGAGTGATGACGACTGCAGGGGCCGGGGGGGGGCAGTCCATGCGAGAGCGCGGCGGGTTTGTGTGTTTTAAACCTGCCACTGTAACTTTGAGGGTGTTGGGCTCCCCCACCTTCCCTAGCCTTGCTGCGTGTTTTCTGGAAGGGTAATGAAATTCCACCTGGCTGCGTTAATGAGGCAGAGGAGGCGCTGATTCGCTGCAGGCCCCGGTCCAGTCTCATTCAGAATTTGAATGGTGTCAAGTGAAGGAGGTCTCTAGCTTGGAAAGACTTCTAGTAATTGCATCAACTTCAGTAGTTTTCAAGTAATTAGTACAATCTTAAAAAGTTGATCTTAAACAATTGGTCTCTTAAGTAGATGGTATTAAAGATTAGCTGGGATTCGGGTTTTTTTTGTTTGTTTAGTTTTAAAAGGCCATCTAATTTCTCATTCATGAATACAGAATGTTTCCTACTGTCGTCATTCTTAAATGCTAACTTGATTCATCCTCACCCCACCCCGCATTTGAAGGACTACAGAGCAAAGTTTTCTCATCAATTGGGGCTCACCTCCAGTGGCAGGGCCCCACAAATACTCTTGGTGACTTGACTTCCTTAGTTCGCGGTCCTCCCGCCAACTACTCGATAGTCCTTTTTTCTTCATAGCTCCTAATCACTAATAATATTTTGTGGAGGCATTCTGTAGATCTCCTCTCGCCCTACAAGAATGTAAGTTCCACGGAGAAGAGAAGGAGGGGTGCTTTACCTGTTTCTTAATTTCTGTACTGGAATCAACAAGCCCCACATATCGTCTGGGCACCGTAGG